ACAAATTGATCTTATCTGGCAACTACATATATTATCAATTGTGCTCAGGTTGGTATGTCATTTCATCGTAAATAGACTAACTTCAGAATGGTGTTTGTAAATTCTACTAATTTCGAAAATCTTAGCTCATTGTCAATACTCCGTTCAGTAAAGTGGCCTTTAGAGTTCTCAAATTGTAGTAGTAAATGAAACTGACTGGCCTTAAAGCCTTCAATGATACGGGAAAAGCTTTCCTACTTTGGTATTCCATAAGCAAGCAGGGGGTACCTTCCCGGTAATTCCATAAAAAAGGCGGAGCAGGGCGTTGGCCACTTTGGGGAGAACTTCTAGGAAGGTAGGCACTGCGGCGTAGAGGCATGAGCATTTCGCCATTTTCGACTTTCCCTCGTACTCAATACCAATTCGAATAAAACACAACTCTATATCCACTTCTTAAAATAGCGATAGCTCTTTCCTACAACGAAAAAAGGACGAGGTACCTTGAATGGCAGTTCCATGGGGAGAGTGGTTTATGGAGAAGTTTTAGTACGTAGGTGAAGCCGTGAGTCTGCAAGGGGTGCATGCTGCTATGCCGGTATAGTACCACTCATGAGAGTTTCCCTCTTCACGGGCGTTATCTCAGGGAAAAAAAGCTCCAAGTTATAAGTAAGCAAAAAAAAATACTTTTACTTTATACGCCCACATTGACGTCCCTTCATCTAATAGTTTAAACGACATCCAACTAGCATTGTAAAAGCCATTTTAAACCACCTTCGACAACTTCTTTCCGCAATCGTTACAAAGTTCGCATTGAGGAGAGGCACAACTACAAGAACGACGTCTTTCGTACACTGCACGCAGGCACATCAGTCAAAATTGTTTCATCTAAGCGTGCAAACAATGAAAGACAGCAAAATGAACATACAGCAGATATCAGCTGCCACTTTAGGAAGCAGCATTCGTTTTACTCTCTTTTTTACATAAAACTCAAATATTGAAATTTTAGTGCCGCAAGTTACATAGTTCTACTGTGGCATGTGGCACGCAGCCAGCATCGACTTCAAGCAAATAAAGTCCTCCCAAATTTCCAGCTTTACTCGGAGTGATTGCAAAAAGAAGGAGGCAAAAAA